TCAGATCATGTATACAAGGAGACCAATGCATATCTCAGCAGATTTTTCAACCCAGACCCTCAAAGCCAGGAGATCATGGAACAACATATGCCAAGCTCTAAAAGAAAATGGATGCCAACCAAGAATCTTATACCCAGCAAAATTAAACTTTAGTTTTCAAAATTAAACTTTAGTTTTATTTCATGAAATAAAAATCTTCCATGATAAACAAAAGTTAAAAGAATTCACAACTAGAAAGCCTACACTACAGAACATCCTTGGCAAAATATTCCATGAAGAGGAAATGAAAAACAATGATGAAAATCAGCAGAGGGAGGTATTACACTAAAGGAAAAACTAATCCGAGGAGAAATCAAGTCAAGTTAAATATCAAAAATTTAAAAATGGCTGGGAATACAAAGCATGCCTCAATAATAACCCTGTATGTTAATGGCCTAAACTCATGGATCAAAAGATATAAACTAGCAGACCCAACAATATGCTGCCTCCAAGAGACTCATCTCATAGGAAAAAACATTCAGACTGAAGGTGAAAGGTTGGGAAAAATCATACCCCTCACATGGAATGCAGAAACAATCAGGGGATTCCATCCTCATATTAAATAAAGTAGACTTCAAGCTAAAGTAAACCAAAAGGGATACAGAAGGACACTACATACTGCTCAAGTAAACCATACATCAACAAGACATAACCATTATAAATATATGTGCTCCAAACAATGGAGTATCTACATTCAACAAACAAACTCTTCTCAAGTTCAAGAATCAAATAGACCACAACACAATAATTTTGGGTGACTTTAACACACCTCTTTCACCACTAGATAGATCTTCCAAACAAAAGCTGAACAAAGAAACTATAGAACTCAAAAACACAATCAATAACTTAGACTTAAAGGACATATATAGAATATCTTATCCTTCAACAAGAGAATACACTTTCTTCTCAGCAGCACATGGATCCTTTTCTAAAATAGAACATATATTATGCCACAAAGCAACCCTTAGCAAATATAAAAAAGTAAAGATACTACCCTGCATCTATCAGATCATAATGGAATGAAATTAGAAATCAATGTAAGAAATAAAATCTACTCCAACACCTGGAGACTAAATAATATGCTACTGAAGGTACAATGGGTTGCAGAAGACATCAATGAGGAGATTAAAAAAATTTTAGAGATGAATGAGAACACGGACACAACATATCGAAATCTCTGGGACACTATGAAGGCAGTTCTAAGAGGAGAGTTCACTTCATGGAGTTTATTCCTTAAAAGAAGAAAAAGTCAACAGATAAATGACTTTACATTTCAAAGTCCTAGAAAAAAAAGAACAAATTTATTCCAAAAGCATAGAAGACAGGAAATAACTAAAATCAGAGCTGAAATCAATGAAATTGAAACAAAAGAAACAACTGAAAAAAATGCAAAACAAAAAGTTGGTTCTTTGAAAACATAAATAAAATTGACAGACCGTCAGCCATGCAACAAAGAGAAGGAGAGAAAAAAATCAAATTACTAACATACGTGATAAAAAAGGAAATATCATGAATGACACTACAGAAATACAGAAGATAATTAGAAATTATCTTCAAAATAATTAGAAATTATTTTGAAAACTTGTACTCCAATAAAATAGAAAATATCGAAGGCATCAACAAATTTCTAGAGTCATATGATTTCTCCAAATTGAATCAGGATGATAGACACATTTAAACAGATCAATTTCAAGTGACAAAATAGAAGACACCATCAGAAGCCTACCAACCAAAAAAAGAAAAGAAAAGCCCAGGACCAGATGGATACAGCTGAGTTCTATAAGACCTTTAAAGAAGAACCAACACCAATACTCGTCAATTTATTTCAGGAAATAGAAGAAGAGGGACCACTTCCAAACACATTCTATGAGGTCAATATCTCACTGATTCCAAAACCAGGCAAAGACACATCAGAAAAAGAAAACTTCAGATCAAAATCTCTAATGAACATAGATGCAAAAATTCTCAGTAAAATTCTGGCAAATTGAATACAAAAACATATCAAAAAGATGGTACACCATGATCAAATGGGGTTCATCCCAGGGATGCAAGGTTGCTTCAACATACAGAAATCAATAAATGCAATTCATCACATCAAGAGACTTAAAGGTAAGACATATAATCATATAATAGATGCAGAAATAATAGATGCAGCATAATAGATGCAGAAAAAGCATTCAATAAAATATAGCACGCCTTCTTATTCAAAACACTAGAAAAACTAGGGATAACAGAAACATGTCCTAACGTCGTAAAAGCTATCTATGCTAAGCCCCAGATCAACATCATTCTAAATGGAGAAAAATTGAAAGCATTCCTTCTAAAAACTGGAACAAGACAGGGATGCCCTCTTTCAACACTTCTATTTAACATAGTTATTGAAACACTAGCCAGAGCAATTAGACAGATGAAAGAAATTAAAGGGATAGATATAGGAAAAGAAGAACTTAAATTAGGACTATTTGCTGACGATATGATTCTATACCTAGAAGACCCAAAAAGCTCCACCAGAAAACTTCTAGAACTAGTAAATGAATTCATCAAAGTAGTAGGATATAAAATCAACAACCATAAATCAAAAGGAATTTGTATGTATCATTAACAAATCCTCTGAAAGGGAAACGAGGAAAAGTACCCCATTTATAATAGCACCAAAAAATAAAATAAAATACTTGGGAATCAACTTAACAAAAGAAATGAAAGACCTCTACAATGAAAACTATGGAACGCTAAAGAAAGAAATTAGAGAAGACCTTAAGAGATGGAAAGATCTACCTTATTCTTGGATAGGCAGAATTAATATTGTCAAAATGACCATACTACTAAAAGCACTATACATATTTAATACAATCAAAATCCCAATGACATTCCTCATAGAAATAGGAAAAGCAGTCATGAAATTCATCTGGAAAAATAATAGACTCAGAATAGCTAAAGCAACCCTTAGCAAGAAGAGTGAGGTAGGTGGCATCACTATACCAGACCTTAAACTATACTACAGAGCAATAGTAATAAAAAGAACATGGTATTGGTACCAAAATAGACTTGTAGACCAATGATACAGAATAGAGGACATAGAAACTAACTCACATAATTACAGTTATCTTATATTTGACAAAGGTGCCAAAAATGTGCATCGGAGAAAAGATAGCCTCTTCAACAAGTGGTTCTGGGAAAACTGGAAATCCATGTGCAACAAATGAAATTAAACCTCTATCTCTCATGATGCACAAAACTCAAAGTGTATGGGGGCGGGGCTAGGGTTGTGGCTCAGTGGCAGAGCGCTCGCCTAGCATGCACAAGGCATGCGAGGCCCTGGGTTCAATCCTCAGCACCACATAAAAATAAATAAATAAATAAAGGTAGTAAAAAAAAAGAAAACTCAAAGTGGATCAAGGACCTAGGAATTAAACCAAGAGACACTGCATCTATTAGAAGAAAAAGTAGGCCCAAATCTCCATCGTGTCAGATTAGGGCCCAACTTCCTCAATAAGACTCCTATAGTGCAAGAACTAATATCAAGAATCAATAAATGGAATAGATTCAAACTAAAAAGTTTTTTTTCAGCAAAAGAAACAATCAATGAGGTAAATAGAGAGCCTATTAATTGGGAACAAATTCTTACCACACACACGTCAGATAGAGCACTAATCTCTAGAATAGATAAAGAACTCAAAAATCTTAACACCAAAAAACCAAATAACCCAATCAGTAAATGGGCCAAGGAACCAAACAGACACTTCTCAGAAGAGGATATACAATAAATCAACAAATATATGAAAAAATGTTCAACATCTCTAGCAATTAGTGAAATGCAAATCAAAACTAAGATTTTATCTCACTCCAGTCAGAATGGCAACTATCAAGAATACAAACAGTAAGTGTTGGCGAGGATGTGGGGAAAAAGACACACTGGTAGGACTGCAAATTGGTGCAGCCAATATGGAAAGCAGTATGGAGAATCCTTGGAAAACTGGGAATGGAACCACCATTTGACCCAGCTATCTCACTCCTTGGTCTATACCCAAAGGACTTAAAAACAGCATACTACAAGGACACAGCCACATCAATGTTTATAGCAGCACAATTCACAATAGCTAAAACTGTGGAACCAATCTAGATGCCCTTCAGTAGATGAATAGATATAGAATGTGGTATATATACACAATGGAATATTATTAAGCATTCAGCATTAAAAGAGAAAATAAATCATTGCATTTGCAGGTAAATGGATGAAGCTGGAGAATATAATGCTAAGTGAAATTAGCCAATCCCAAAAAAACAAATGCTAAATGATTTCTCTGATTTAAGGATGCTGATTCATAATATGCTGGGGGGGGGCAGGGTGCAATGGGAGGATTAAATAAACTCTAGATAGGGCAAAAGGGAAAAGGGGAGGGAGGAGAAAGGAGGGAACAGAGGGGTAGGAAAGATGGTGGAATGCGATGGTCATCATTACCCTAAGTAAATGTAAGAAGACACGAAGGATGTGACTCTACTTTGTGTACAACCAGAGATATGAAAAATTGTACTCTATATGTGTAATATAAATTGTAATGCATTATGTTGTCATATGTAACAAATCAAAATTTAAAATAAAATAAATACTGCTTCCTATTAAAAGGCACTAAAAATCTTGGATAAATATCTGGTTCCAGATCTAGGGCAGGAAATAAGAAGTAAACCTAATACATTAAGGTCAAATGTTCCTGAATGTTCAAGTACTGACACTGGTTTAAAGGGACACAGGAGCTAACCTGAAAGGGTTCCCATTTGCTTAATATGGGACTATCTGAGTATTAAGGAAAGACATAACAACTGTGATTATTTGGTACATAACAAATATACACTTATTACACTGAAAGTTGTTTAATAAAAGAATAAAGCATTATCCTGAAGAAAAAATATGCAATGGAACAAGAAAGTGTCCCCTCTTAGAAAAATCTATTTTATCTTTTCAGGTTGTTAAGGTGAAGAAGCTGATGAGCAAAATTGCAAATTATATACGATGGCAGCCTATTGTTGCACTAAAATACAGGAGTTGGGGGCAGAAGTGATAAAAGCATTTAGTAAGTATAAAGTGCTATTTAAATTAAATATTAACGTTCTAAAGAAGTAAACAAATGTCTTTAATGATTTCCTTTGCAGGATGTTAGAAGTCTCTCTAAATGTTCCTAGATGGGTCTGATTAGGTTATTATATTCACTTTTTAAAAATAAAAAGTGATTCAAAAGACAAATAATAGTGGTTACAATGTGGCATGCAATTGATAAATGCAGTATATCAGAAATCAAACCAGATGGCAGGCATGAGAAGACAACTTATGGGGAAAGTGACACTCACGGGATTGGGTTTCCTTCCATACACCGGGTCCCAAAACCAGGGTCTTTGGTGAGGGCATTCAAGAGTTGCTGGGTGCCAGTGTCCTCAGGAGCATCATTACTGTGAGTACATGGGAAGCAACCATCTCAGTAATTCATTTAAACCAGGAACAGGGAGAAAGAAAAGTTTTCTAAATTAAACACTCTATTAAGTACTTCCTGGATTCTAGGCTCTTAAAAGAAAAATGAATAAAATACAGAAACTAGGTATGAGGAGCTTGGACTCTGGCCATATATTCAGCATCTGGGTAGTATAGAGCACCCCAAACTGGAATATGTATGAAGATGTGTGTACCTGTGTGTACCTATGCACACATATACACACATTTACATATATATTGTAATTTGAAGTAATGAGACTCATTAAGGATCAGTATTTCAAAATTACTTTCATGATTACCCATTTGGCCCAGATAACCAGTACTTTCCAGGAAGGACAGGCAGATTTTACTGACTGTGTACACAGACAACTCGAAAGTACAAGAAATAATAGGCACAGGTCACAAACACATGCCATATTTTATAGCTATAGGCAATACAAGGTCAACAGCTAGGAAGGGAAAAAGGCAAGTAAACCTGAATTAAGAAGAAAGCATAGTTTGGAGAAAAAGAGACAAATTCATATGTTTGGTATATGTTATTTTCATTTTTAAACCTCTTCTAGATATCACTTATATATCTCTCCTATCTATACACCTATAAATCCCAGAAAACCTTTGCCAAACAATATCCAGAAATTCCTTTGTCCTTTTATTTCATGCATAGGATTACTATGGAGTAGAAAGTATTTTTGCCAAACGTTAACATTAGCCAAAACCATAAATTTAAAGAGTAGGTAATAATTACATGAATTATACTATATAGAAAATAAGAATGTGAAGCTTCTGTTTTGACATTGTATGGAAGCCCTATGACTAGATAACAAAATTAAAACATAACTCTAAAAATACAAATATTTTAAAACAATTTTAGATTTTATCAAGGGCATATCATCTAAAATATGCAGGGTTGTCCTGACACTCACAGCATAAGGAGAAGGGGTGAAATGTCCGAGAGAGGACTAGCTGCTAAGTCAAGGGTAGCTCACTGATGTTCTTGGCATGCAGTAGTAGCTTACATAGGGGCCTGAGGCACAGCTGGTAAAACCCCTTCCACTGTGCAATTCTTGACTCTATTCTTTTGACCCTCAGCACAGTGATCACCCTTGATCTACTTGAACCCTCCTCTCCCCTGGGCCCAGAAGACAAACACGTACCTGACAAACGTATACTGCTCATTGTACATCCAGGGCTGAAGTTCCAGGCTAGGGTACTTGCCAAAGGGTGGCACAATCAGGCTGAACACCAGGGCAATGCAGACAAACACAGCTGGCAGGACAATCTGTAACCAGGCAATGGAGGGGGTAGGGGGATGGCAGGAAAAGATAAGGTTAGAAAGAAGTCCAAGGAGCAAATCCCTGCAAGTCCAGCCAGGTTCCCAGACCAGGCAGCACAAGAAGGAGGGTGACAGGGCCCATGGCTGGCCCAAGGCCTTGTGGGCAGAGTGAAAGCAATGGATCCTGAACACTAAACATCTTCCCTCTAGGACTTTCTAGAATCTGGCAGCACAATGCCAGAGTCTCTAGTCACCTGGCAGAAGCACTAGGCTAGGAACTTCACAGAGTAAAGAGTAACCCCACGTTAGGGTGACTCAGAATTCTGGGTCCTGCATTTCTTCCCATGAAGATGATAAAGACCACAATGGGTCATGAGCGCAGTTCAGCTCAGAAGAAAACTGAGTGAACAAGCCCTGGACTAGGAGCCACAAGTCCTGAATCCTGGGTCTGACACTAATACAAGTGTACCCACATGACATCACCACTGTAGGGCCTCAGTATTCTCATTATAATCTGAGGACTGAGAAGAGATCAGATCCCATAATCCTGAAACCAGTTCTTAAAAGCAGTGACTCCAGTCACAAGCAATAGCAGCCATTGTCTGCCATGATCACCTCTCAAAGCATAAATACGCAACTCCTTCTTGAAATTCCTCAAACTTTCTACAAACCTACTCTGAAAACAATGACTCATACACACTTTACAAGTAAACTCAAAGGTCTTTCCATTTATTGCTGAGAAACTTATCCTTTAAAAACTTAAGGATTCATATTGACTCTGGCTCTTGGGCTTCAATGCAGAAAATTATCATTAAGTGAGCAATTCTACTGGAAAGTACTCTAATGATAATTATCTTAATTATCATTACTACCCTATGCTGTTATTTGTGGTGTTACTATCATTGCCACTATCCAAAAACTTGGTTATTAAAGATCAGAAAGTCAAGTTACTTGTTCATGGTCACAAAGCCAGCTAGTAACACAACCAGACTTCAAATCCAGGTCTGAATGTCCCAAACTCATACTCTTAGTATCATACATACAGTCTGTAAGGAAGACTCTCTATAAACTTTTCTCCACATTTCTTAATTTTTACAGAGTGAAATAATTTTAACTCTTCTAACTAAGCAAGTGAGCATACAAACTCTGACTTGAAGGGAGTAGTATGAGTCTTCTCTATTTGCCAGTTACATTCTGATCTCTCTGGGTATCTTTTTATCATTTGAGTTAAACATCAACTTAGAGAAAAATCATGTTTCTAATAAGTGCATATGTCAAGTGCATCTGAGCATAACATCACTTATGTTATGATAGCTGAATTTACCTAACAGTTTTTCTAAACGCTTACCCTTTTATGTTGTTCTCTAAAATAAAAGACATACATACATACACACATACATACCCATAAACCCAAGCATCAGACTCCATTCTAAGCATTTATTCATGTTTATCCTCAGGATAACATGGTGTCATAGGCACATTATTATCTCTATTTTTCAGGTGAGGAGACTGAGGCCTGGAGAAGTCATTTGCTGGCAGACACAAAACTGGCAAGAAATATAACTGGGATGGAAATACAGATAATCTAGCTCCAATATCTATATCTTGACTGCAGCAGCATTCTGCTTTCACTGGTCAGAGAGTGTGTAGCCCACCCATGAAGCCAGAAACCAGCATATTTCACCTGAGCGAAGAATCCTTTTCTACTCCGTCTGGCGATCAGCAGCCTCTTCCACAAAAGAGCCACAAACTGTTGCTGCGTGAGTTTCCAGCCCTTCACCTGATAGGAGCCTTTACCATCCATCCCGCTGAGCAGGTCTGTCTCCCTGGATTCTGCAAGAAGCCAATACTGAAGGTCACCTATTATGTTAGGTGTTTTTGACATGATGTATTCCTTCTTCTAAGATCTTCAGAAACCATTTGGAGGCTTGTGTTTGAAATTGAAAGTATCTCACAGAGGTAAAGGGTTTTAATGATACCTCTATATTCAAGAAAAACTAATGACTCAACATGTCCAACAGGAGCAGTCTCTGCCTTTTAGTCCTCGTTTGGTGAGTACAAAGAATGAAGGTGCCTTGAGACTACTGCAGAGATGTTCACATATTCTTACCTAGGTGTTACCGAACATCATTCAGATGAGTGGAGACATTGCTGATTTCTTACAGATTATTCTATGGAACAGGCCATGTATGCAGATGAACACACTTGAGAACACACAATGGCAGTCTCTAATCTTTTATATTTTTGTTAAAAAAATGGACACATTTGAAATGATCTAAGTACTAACAATGCATGAAGTCAGGGAGAACATAAGAGCCACATGCTCATGTGCCATGGACTGGGACAGTGAGAAAATTCTCTGTTCATAAAAATTATGTAGAAATTCTTGTCTGAAATGAATGATTCCTAACAGAGACACTCTGACATCAAATTTGTTTGATTTCTTACCTCTCCTTTTCATTTCAAACACACAAGGACACAGTCATCCAAAATACCTACATCTAAGGGCACATTAACTGAAAGCAAATTACCCTCCCTGACTTTCTCAAAATCATTCATCCATTCAATAAATACTTATTCAACAATAAAACACTTAATGTATGCAAGAAACTTGAACCCTACAGAAAAGACAATAAAAGAGCAGTCCTTTTTTAATATGTGCATCTTAAGATCTCAGCTAACTGAAGGAACGATGAGGATGGGCTCTTTCATGTTTGACCTAAACACATGCACAAAGCTGGAAAAAGACAAGCGGCTTTTCTCATTTTTCCACTTCCTTCTGGACCCTCCAGGGAATCTATCATCTTGTTCATCAAAAGAAAACAGCTGAGAAGAACATAAAGGAGAAATTCTTCTTCAAACAATAGAACCTAGATCTTGCCCAAACGAACCTGGGTCTATATCAGAATCATTGGGATCAATAGCATCATCTTCAGTAAATGGGCGAAGGCAGCTCTGCTTGTCTCCAAAGGCCCGTCGGTTTCGTCTCGCTGGCAAAGTACCATCTGAAGGCAAAAGGAAGGAATCCCTCATTTTACTTTATTTGAAACAAAACAAACCTTCTCTACCTGTAACAAACATATACTCTAAAAATGGGACTGTATTAGAACAATGTAAAGGGAAAAAAAAACAAAATAAAAAATAAAAAGAACAATATGAAGAGAAAGGTACAACACTGGTGAGTGAAGTTTGCCTGCTCAAGACTCTAGCCAGACTGTATAGTCCCTCTCAAAAGGGTTACCTGAGGTCTCAGCATCCACCCCACTCTCTTCAGCCACTTTGAGGAATATCTGAAAAATTAGAGTTGGTGACAATATAAGTACCAACATTATGAGAATAGCCATCACTATCCTGACTACATTATTGACTTGCATATTACCACCTCTAAGACAAAGAAAGTAGAAGCTACATTTATTAATAACACTTGATCAGAGTTATTTGGGAGGTATTTTTGCCAGAAAACATTCCCTTAGTGGTGAGAACTATCAGTCCAGACAATCATTTTCAAAATACAGCTATGACATCAGGACACTGAGACAAAGGAAATCTGTTAGGAACCTATAGGGAATGAGTAAAGTGGTTTCTTTCAGGCTGTGGCTTCAAATCTTTAAGCAGAACAGCACTGTGCTAAGTTAGTCAAGACAGAATGGTCAGGGAGACATGGACTCCCCATAAGTAGAAATATCATGGCAGAGGTCCAAACATCAGAGGAGAATCTGAATGAGGCCACTGATTTCCAAACTCTTGTCTATAGACCACTGTGTACGACATATGCAGTGGAAGTACAGAGTTAAGGCCTTACTTCCAGAAATCCTAATTCAAAGACACTAGAATTGAGACTTGGAATTTTTATTGTCAGTAATATCCTCACATGGCTACTACACAATCTAGCATGGAATCACCAGGCCAGACAACTTTTATAGCCCTTCCAGCCCTCAAAGTCTGTGATGTGTCTCTAAAGGGAGGAATTACTACTTCATAAAAACAACCTGGGTTTTGAAGCCCAAACTTACCATGCTGAATCCCAACTCAACATCCCTGATTAGTTAATTTTCTTGTCTTGTTATGAGGATTACACAAGATTACAAAGATTTAAAAAAGCAAATCAAAAAGAAACACCAAAAACGTACAGCTTGGTACCTGGCCCTAGTAGACTATAAATGTTGGTCATTTCTTATGATGCATTAAGTCCAGTTAACACAACCACACCACGGGCAATCCTAGTACTTCTTTCCTGCCTGCTATCTCCCACTATGATCTTAATTGGTTCACTGCTGCCAACATTACCTAGATATCAATGACCTAAAATCTCAATGACCAACCCCATGGTGATCCTGTTTCCTTCCTGTCTGACCTTGAGGTGGTTGGGGCTGCTATATTTGACAGTCAGCCACCCAACTTACTTCTTCCAAGGTAGTCTCTGAGATGCCATAACTGGATATGCCCAGGTCTGAGAGCCGGTCATCGATCTCATGGAAGAGTTCCACAAATGCCCCCTCCTTAGCAGCTTCATATGGTAGTACATAGGTCAACTCATGCCCAATGTCTTCCACTAGCCGGGCTTCAGATACATGCTTCCTGATGAGGTTGGAGATGGCTGAGACATCTGCAAGGACCACAGTGTAAAGATGGTTCAGTCATTTCAGAGGCTCCACAGCAAAGGCCAGTCATCCCCTTTGCCTACTTCTCAGAAGCCTGCTGCTTATACACCATACTGTCCAAGATATTTTAGCCATTCCACATGTTCAACTCTAAGATTTCCAGGGGACAAGAACTGTAACTCATTCACTTTATATCACCACAACTAGGCACACTGTGGGTACTCCATGTGTTATAGATGGATGGATGACTTGCTGAGGTTGAAGATCTGGTATCTACAGCTTATACGCTGGGATTCTTTAGTAGAAAACTTGAGTAAGAAAAATCATAGAGATTTTTCAGCCTTTCCTAAGCTTTCTTTCAAAGGGAGCTTCCCTCTATTTACCTCAATAGAGGCTAACCAAACAGTTCATAGAAGCAGAAGTCTTCCTGGAAAAAGCCAGCTGTTAGAACTGAGCAGAGATGGCCAGGTTATGATTTCTGTTCCACATGCTACTGACGACACTGGGTTCCCATATGCACTGCCAAGAAAAGCCTAAAAGGCTGCTTCTTATCTCCTGGGCTCTCACCTTCCTTATATACTAAGCTCAAATCCCTCCCTGCTGGCTTGACACTCAATGGCTCATCCGGTGTCCAGCCAGATCCACTCCCCTAAGGGATTCCCCAAACCCCAGTCATCTCAGTTCTCTGGGACACTGCCCTGCCAGCTCCCAGACCAAGCCCCAGGCCCCCCAGCAAGCATTAGGCCACCACCACCAAGCTGCATCCACTCCCACAGCCACCCAGCCCAGCCCAGCCCAGCAGCAAACCTTGAGTCAGCGCCACCAGCCTCTGCACCTCTCCTCCTCTGCCTCCACTCTGCCCAGCTGGGGGAAGCTCAGGCACCACCTGAATGAGAAACCCCAGAGTCCTTACCGATGGTCAGCGTGTCACTTTCATGGTCGCTGCCCAGGCCAGCATCAGAACTGCTCTGAGAAACACTGTCCTCCTGATGGCAAAGAAGGAGGTGAGAATGGGTCAGGGACCAAGCAAGGTATAGCCACCACCACCTTTGCCAGCGAGGGTTTCCAGAAGCTCTATTGTGTAAGAACTGCAGCAAAAGCTTTTCCTGGTGTGCATGAAGCTGGAAGCCAGGGCTTTAGAGGCCACCATGTGATGTGTGTGCCAAGTGGACAGCCTCTCTTCCTGGGGTGAGTTATGAGCTATCAACAGAACTGTGGCTTGGCAGGAATCCTGGTGCAACCAGGATTTGCCAATCATTGCAGGCATGGGATTTATCTGGCTACTTGTCTAATTCAATGCAACCTAAGCTTTAACATATGTTAAACCATTCTAGGACCCCATTAAAATGCAGATTCTGACTCAGTAGGTCTGAATTGGACCCAAGTTACTGCATTTCTAATCCTGATGCTGCTGGTCCTCACACCACACTTAAGTAAGGAGGCTTTAGTTAAAAGGTAAGTAAGTGGACAGAGTTCAAGGTTAGGATTAAGATGTATTAGGTGCCACTGGTTTCAATCCATGAATAAATCTCAGGCATGTACTATGATAGAGGAGAGAACATGTCTGGTTTGGAGGTTCTAGTCCCACCTGCTATTTATTTTTTAGATGACCTGTAATAAGCTAACAAATCCCTACAGGTCTCACTTCCCTCATCTAGGATAGTAATCATGTCCTGTCTTCCTAGGATTGCTCTGTACTCTGAGATGCCAGATGGGGAAAAAAAATTGTGACAAAACAATAACTATTATCATTATTTTCTTTTACACCCAGTCTGTGTGGTCTGAAATAAGTGCTTCATAAATATTTGTGTTTTATACTTTAAAAGTAAAGATCGATGAGATTTAAAGATAATAAGCAGGAATAGCAGGACATTTTGTAGCCAACTCTTACCTCTTAGCTAGTCTCTTTTCTGCGACATAATAAAGTCCTGAAAGGACATTCTCCATTGCTCATTGAATAGGAAAAAGGAAAAATGGGACTCAACAAAACTAGCACTACGAGAACAGAGGGCTCTAGAACTTTCCACATAGGCAGTATGATGTGAAAGGGTACAGAGCAGGGAGACAGTGGCCACAACTTGGGTGAATGGGGCAGAGGTGAACAAGCCATCTGCAGCCAATAAGTCCTGACGGCCCGGCCCAGCCCAGCACTGAGACTGCAGCTCACCTTTTTCAGGTATGACACAGTGCTACTGCTATTTCGGCAGGAACTCAGGGAGGATTCTACATCTTTCTTGACCAGTGTCAGGTAGTAGCCTGTTCCCAGCTGGTTCTTCAAGAACAGGGAGGAGCCCACACAGCACAACTTCCCATGGGAAATGATGGCAATCCTGTCCCCCAGGATGTCTGCTTCATCCATGTGGTGTGTGGAGAGAATAATGGTGCGACCTGCCAGACACAAATACAAGGATGTGGGACACGTGAGTCCTGTCTTTTCTCATTGATTGTAGTAGCAAGGACTATAGAGACACTGGCAGGGGTGTAGGCAAGAAAGACTGAAAGCTGACTTCAACCCTCTGGCCATGACCCCAAGGCTGGCAACACATTTATTTGGAACTTGCAAGGTGTCAGAAAGCATATTAGGTGGTTTATGTATATTCTTTAATTAATTTTACCCTTCATGAGGTAAGCACCACTCTTATTACAGATAAGGAAATGGGGCCAAGCTAAGTGATTTTTTTTTCCAAAGCATCAGGGCTGCACAAGCTCTAAGCACACGGCCAAACGCGTTCTTGTCCTTTCCCATTCCATTAATTTATTCATCCACTCTTTCAACAAACAAAATTAGTGCAACAAGTTAGGGACAAAACAATGAACAGAGCCTCTGCTCTCAGGAATCTATCTTAGCGTAGTATAATCACGATACACCCGTGTAAGTCTATACCATTTCTGTTCTTGCAGGCCCCTAGGTAATGAAGCATAAACTTCAAGTATCTTACAACCAGGTCTCCCATATCCATACTAAAAGCAGACACTGAGCTTTAAAAAAAGTTCCATTTTTTTCTTTGAGAAGCAATTCTGTTACCCCCATGAGATACAGCCATACTTCTCAATAACCCTTCTCTCCCCAAATCCGTGACTCAGAGTACACATTGGTTACCTTGTCGGTATTTCAGCAGCAGCTCCCATATTCCCCTGCGGGAGTAGGGATCCACACCAGCTGTGGGCTCATCCAGAATGACAACCTTGGACCCCCCAACAAAGGCCAAGGCCACAGACAACTTTCTCTGCATCCCACCTATAAGACAGAGCAAAAGATAGGCTCCAGAACCAGCCCCAGATGGTGAATGAAGGAGGAGGGGGTGAGA